ATATAACTTGCTGTTTAGAAGAAGCTATTGCAACATACAGTATGTGACTGATTTGGACAAAACTAAATATGATCAAATCTTCTTCTTCTTTCGGCTGCTCCCTGTGTGCATGAAGACTTGGCAGTTATTTTTACACCGGATGTCCTTCCTGACGCAACCACAGACACCCAGCTACCACAGCCTGTGTGGAGCAGAGGGCTGCTATCTAGGACACCCGGAGGAGTAGATGGTGGGGGGGTTAAGGGCCTTGCTCAGGGGCCCAGGGTGGGACGAATGAGGGTGGGGGCAGGTGTGGGTGCTTCGCCTACCCCACCCACATTTTTGATGATGTCGGTACCGGGCCTTGAGCCGGTGATCTTCCCATCACAGGCTCACCTTCTGTAACCTCTGCGCCACCACTCCCCAAATATGATCAAATAAACAACTCATTTATAATATTTCACAAAGAAAATTAATTTTAGAACTCTATGTTTCAGTGAATTAAACTAATTAGATTAATTTTTTCTAAATAAAGACTTTAATACATATTGCACGAGTTTGTCACGGTAATGAAATCTGAAAACGTTAAGTCAGGTCCTCCGGACGTTCAAAAAACAAAAACAAAAAAATGTAGAAACGTTTCGTCTTTCATCCGAAAGACTTCTGGTAATGAAACTTTCTCCTGTGTGGTCAGAAAGAAAATTCTAAGAAAAGAACTACATTACCCATACGCCCCTGTGTCAGCGTATTACGTCAGTACGTAAAACTTGAACTCAACATGGATGACTCGGTAGTTGTTGAAAAGTGCCCGGTAAGATTTCTGTTTAACATTTTTTGTTGTAGTTTTACTTTTGTATCTATACTTCAAAGATTTGGTGAAACCATTATTTTTATTCCTGTATTCATTATGTTTTATTTCAGCATTTTACTGTTTGTTAAAGCTTAAGGCTGCTGAACCATAAACCTGCCAATTCATTCTCCGCTCCTGTTAGCTTAGAGTGTTAGCGTCGAGCGTTAGCATCGAGCCTGTACAGACAAATTAAAGCGATTTGTTTCAAGTGTACTATGAGTTTATAGTTAAAACGTTCCTGGACGTTTAAGGTAATAATTTTAAAAGCGTTGTGATGCACATTAACGTGAGCACGATGGTTTATAGTTGTTAGGTGTTGTCTTACCGAGATGCTAAGATAGCAACCAGCAAACGAGCTGAATGTCATTGAGTTTGTGTGAATAATTAAACAGTATAATTATTTTACATACCGTTTATTATAATGATTAACTGTGTGTTTTACGTTTAACTCTGTAATTCGGCAGCCTTTCTAACTGTCTTACGCCAATAATAAAAACAAAAATAAGATTTTTTTTTTAGGTTCCAAAGTAAAACTAAAGAGGTCGAACAAAACTAATTTGGGTTATTGTTTTATGTACATGCATGTTTTAATACAGATACAGAAACTGTGAAATATAATTAAATACGTCCAACAAGACAAAAGTATTTGTAAAGTTATTTATTCGTCTTTGTTTGGGATTCCTTCCAGCTCACTGGCATGTTCCCGTTTTCAGTAATCTTAAACATGGTAATAAATCCACTTTTGTTAACTTCACAGGAAGAAATGCCCTCAATGCTAACCTCCAGACCTCAGACGGGTCTGTCCTTCCTGGCACCAGAACCAGAAGACCTGGAGGACCTTTACACCAGATATAAGGTTGGAAATCTACAAAGAGACACCCATTTATATTCAATCATCTGTTTGTAAAACTGAACAGGAGCCACATTTGTTAAAATAAGTAAAGCCCATCTATAAAAGAAATGTTTAATCTTACCAGACTGAAAAACTCCATCCTTCATTAAAAGAAAATGTTAATTTAGAAGCAGAAACGCTTGAAAACAGAACGTGAAGAAGCATTATTTTTGTGCCGTTCAAGCCGCTGTTGATTTTCACATGTTCATAAAAACAAGATGAAACTAAAATATTTCTGTGTATTGTATACGTTCATCTCTGGATGTTTTACAAACTGATTCCTGATCATTTTAAACCAAAGTATTCTCACAGAGTTTACATGATCGAGGTGTTCGCTTCATGTGGAATGTGATTATTTTTAGTCCAAACAAAGTAAAAGTTGGATGTTTAAAAGTAAAAAAAAAAAAAAAAAATTTTTATGTTTCATAAATTAGGCGCAGTTAACAAGTACAGTAACTCGTTCTTTCTTTAAACAAACGCTAAAATAAATAAATAATAAAAAGTAAATTCATGTTTGATAAAACAATTTGCTTCTGTTTTCAAATAATTCATTTTAAAAGCAGCTTTAGTTACGACTCAACAACTTAAAGCTTTTTTTTTTTTTTGTCTTTATGTATCACATTATCACTGAGTTCATAGAATTTAAAAACTCTTTCTGGCTGCTCAATAAAAATCTTTATCCTTGAAGGGAAAATAAAGATTACTTTGTGCTGCCAGACGTTTTACACAATAAGACTAAAACTACAATCTATTAAATAAAATGACATTACTGCACCTGAAAATGAGGTACCAGCTACATTTATTAAGAGCTTATTGACAGTTGGTCTGTTGGTCATGAGTTGGAAGTGTCTGCATCGCGTTCTCACTCTTCTTTTGGTGCACGTTTGCAGAAGCTGCAGCAGGAGCTAGAGTTCCTGGAGGTGCAGGAGGAGTACATCAAAGATGAACAGAAGAACCTAAAGAAGGAGTTCCTGCATGCTCAGGAGGAGGTGAAGAGGATACAGAGCATCCCCCTGGTCATCGGCCAGTTCCTGGAGGCTGTGGACCAGAACACTGCCATCGTTGGCTCCACCACAGGTAAACCTTCACCTTATTAACTTTTATTTAACCAGGCAAATCCCACTGAGATCACAGATCTCTTGCAAGGGAGGCCTGGGCCTGAAGGCAGCCTAACATGCATGTTTTTGATCTGTGGGAGGAAACTGGAGTACCAGGAGAAAACCCACGCAAGCATGAGAAGAACATGTAAACTCCACACAGAAAGAACCCCAGGTCCAACCGGGGACTGAACCCAGGGCTTTCTTGCTGTGCGGCAACAGTGCTAACCACTGAGCCATCGTGCTGCCAAGTGCTACTTTCAGTCCAGATTTAAATCTACACATTGCAAAGTGGGAGATTAAACAAAAACTAAATTCTAAAACGTAGGTCCGAACAGTGTAAACGAAACACTCGGCTGAGTCAAACTACATGGAAGTTTGAGTCACATGACCGACCTCCGTCAGGCTGGAGTCTGTAAGTAAAGAGCAACAGTGGATTCAGACAAGAAACGAATCTGAGACGGTGTTTAGGAGGAAATATCAGAGTCAGTCTGCTGCTAAGAGGAAAAAATGAGTGAAACAGCCATCAGGAATAAATATCATGGATCAGTCAGAACGGACAGACACTGAGTTTACTGCTTCATCTTATCGGATTATCTACCCGAGTTATTCAACAAGCCTGAGCGTAAAAACGTCCCAAGATCAAAACTGTCAGACTTCTCCGTCTCGGAACGTCTCCACAGATGTCGTTATTTTTTTACCTATTTTGTGTCACTTCGGCTGTTTCTGTGCGTTAACAAACACACACTTTGGCTGTTTCTGTGGGTTAACAAACACACACTT